GTTTTTCGCCAATCTTCGGTTGGCAGCAGTCGGTCGTAAAAATAATACATATAATATAAACTACAGATTAACAGTAAAGTCAACTACACTGAATTATCAAATAATTATTTTGATAGCACATAGGATATGAATTAACTTCGAAAAAGAGACTGTGAATAATTAATACGCATTGAAGACCATACATTAACAAAATGACACGCTATTGTTTAAATTTGCATAACTCAAAGTATATATAGTCAAATAAAATATTAAATAGTAAACAACACACTCAATTTTATATATATATATATCGTGTGATAATACTCTCAAGTTTAAGAAAAATGAAGAAGTAGATAATTAAATGTTAGAGCACGATAAAAAATTTTTCATGCAGAACATGTATAAATATGTATGAACATAAATATTTATAACATACATAATTCTATATGAAATATGTTCATACATATTTCTTCCTTTTGTAAAATTATTTTTTAGTGTAATAGAAGTAACAATAGTAATATGAAAATATTAAAAATAATTAAAAAGATAATTTTCACACTATTTATTTAAAGAAAAATCAATTTTAGAGAAATTTAAAAAATATTACTTATGTATAATTAAATATAAATATAATAAGAATTAATTATTTACAAATTTTAATATGTCATTCAACATTATTGTTTCGAAGATGCGAATAAGCATCAAAAATTTGTTAAATTTATTAAAGTCAATCGTGATATCACTACGGTTTAGTTTAAAATTAGCGTTTCAAGATTAAAAAATCATTTCAGCGCGCGTTTCTAAGGATTCGAACGATTCTTATATGAATTTATACTATATACGTAGTATAAATTCACATAAGAATTATACAAGATTAAGATCCAGCTGGATCGTTTAAAGCTTTGATTTCTATAATTTGTATTATCACATATACAGTTCTATAATATATTATATTGTATAATTAATATATTATATTGTATAATTAAATATAAAATTATGTATAATTGTGTATGAGTAATTTTTTTAAATATTTTTCCAAACTTGTTTTTTCTAAAACGAACAATGCCAAAATTATTCCTTTAATTATTTTTTACACACTTTTTTCACATATTATTATTTCTGTTACACTAAAAAGTAATTTTACAAAAGAAGGAATATATAAATATATTTCATATATGATTATACATGTTTATGAAAATTTATGTTTATACATATTTATACATACTAATGTATGAAAAATATTTTACCGGGAATGTATCTAAGAAACATTTCAAAATACTTGAAAGTAGAAATGTGTTATAATAAGTGCTGGCTATTGAGTATTGGCAGAGCGCGTGTGTGCTTTTTTTTAAAGATACTCTAATATTTTTCAAGAAATTAATTTTCCTTTTACAGTCTACTGTAGTAGTGTATGCATAGTGATTATCTTTTGTGGATATTCGTAGAAAGAACTATGAAAAGTATTTTTGCTTTTTTGGTTTTCCTTTTTCATTTTGTAAGTTTCTCATACTTAATGAGAAAATTATTTATAAGGATTTATAAATAAGCATGCATCCATACAAATCAGTGACAAAATATTGATATATTTATTGTTATTAGACTATATTACTTATTGTTATTAGACATGCACTTCTTCCAATTTCAACCAATTGTAAGATATTTGCTTGGACATTTATGGACGGACACCCTGTATATATTATAAGTTTATTTAATATTTATATATATTAAAATATATATTAAAATTGTGTAACATATTTATTAATAATAATTAATATTCATACATATATTAGGTGTAATAAAAAGAAATCCATTATTTTTGCATGAAATTGAATGGAAAAATAATGGATTTTTTTTACTACACCTAATATATGAGAGCAAAAGTATTCGTATAAAGATAATATTTTTTTTAAAAATTTTATTTTTAAAAATTATCCAGCGAGAAATGAATCATCGAATTAATGTCGAATTGATATAAACACGATGATTTCAACATTTGACATTCGATTCGATGTTCAATTGACGATCATTTCTTGTTGAATAATTAATAATTTATTCATAAAGAATAAAATAGACTATATGTTTCTTAAAATTATATATACCAAAAAGATGTGTATTAATTATACAAAATCATTTTTGAAAAATAAGCAAAAATTAAAAATTATATGAATTGTATTGTTTGAATGTTCAAAAAGTATTCGTATAGAACAAGAAATTTAACTTCTAATCAGGAATATGCGAAGCTCGTTTATTTGTGTGAGAAGAGAATATATTCATTGTATAAAATTGCTAATTAATGTTTATTTTCTACAAATAAAGCTTTTTTATAACAAATTTCCTTGTACGAATATTTTTGTTCTCATTGTACATACTTATCAAAGTATGTACATATTTAATAACATCTAAAGTAACAAATAGAATACTATTGTAAATTCTGCGAGTTTAGGTCATCTGAAGTTCAGATTTATAATTAAGAAATCATGATTTGCGATTAACAAAGTTTTTATGACATATTCTTTTTATGTATTTCGTTCTATATAGGAAACAACGAGAATGTCTCAGAAAATTCTTCAATAGCGTGCAATTGGGGTCATCCTTTCTTGTGCATTGACAAGCGTAAATCCAAAATCGATTTAATAACATTATTATTACCGCTTACGTAACTTTGCATTTATTTGGCGGCCGTGCTCGCTATTTCACGCACGCTGCCTCGTCATGCTAGAATTCCGTCGAATTGACGGAATTCAACGCGGTTAGTACATTCGATTTACTGTGAACATGGAATGACAGATTCAACAACGCAATGATTACGCGCGCGCGCGCGCGCGCGCGAGAGAGAGAGAGAGAGAGAGAGAGAGAGAGAGAGAGAGAGAGAGAGAGAGAGAGAGAGAGACGTATATTATCTTGGCACCGAAATTAATCATAATCTCGTGGCAGCATAATGACAATTTTTTTCGTTTTTCTCGTAGGTGTGGCACCGGCCTTGTTTAATGTTCAATTATCATCGTTATTTCTATGCGCGCCGGCATGACTCAATCGCGATGTGTATTACCGTGTCACAGTCTTGAAGGAAAAAGATACAACGCATTAAAAAGATACTACTTCACAATGCGTCATCCTCCTAACAAACGAACATGTTGATATATCTTATGCTTGCAGAATTTTTTGTCATTACGATCACGCGATAGATTTATTCTGCGTTATAATACACGTAAACGATTAAAGAATATAAGGCAGGCGCATGCTAAAATGCAAAGAAAATGCGTTACTTTAAAGTGTTTAAATATTATCGATATCCACGTTTCATTAAATTTAACACATATGTTATTATGTTATATAATTAGAAAGTTATTGAAATTGCCATGTCTAGACAGCATAGACAAAAAATAACTTTTTAAATCCTCGAATTATGAAAACTATTCTTTTTCTGTTCTATTTTTTTATTCAAAAACATTCAAGAATTCCAAAAGGTTACTTTTATCAACTAATATATAGAAATTTTTAATGAAATTGAAATATAATAGCTTTTAGATAGATTATCCTACCAAACACATAGCTTTCAGTTGAAGATTAGTATCCTAAATTAATTTTTTACGTAGAAGTAAACGAAATTGTACTGTCAAAATACATCTCATTTAGAAAATACAATACAATATTACATATATTATAGATTTTCAATACTGACAATGTAGGCTGGGGACAGTTGTAACACTTTTTAGAAATATATTTAGAAGTATAAGTATAGAAACATGTATTTCTTTATTTACGATATATATATGTTTATTTTTTAACGCAACAGCTATTTAGATTGATTCTATTTGCAAAAAAGTGTAATTTTAGGCAGTTTATGAGTAAAATATCAAAATCCGAATTAGTACATCTTGCTTCGATTTCGGACAAAATGAAACAGAGCTGGGGAAAGTTGTAATATGTTATAAAAACAAATTATCTGTCCTAAAACATAAATTCACTGCTTTAAAAACACAAATTCAGTGTTTTAAAAATAAATTATCTGTTTTAAAATAGAAATTATCTTCTTAAATTATTTTTGTTTTTACATCAGTCAATTTACTATTAAAAAGCAGTGAATATGTGTTTGTAAAGCAGTGAATAATATCTATTACAATAAGAAGTACCTACAACGCATTTGCGGCATAGAGCATGAAAATGTGACCTCAGCGCGTGTTTGCATCGCAGTATTTTGTGACAGATTTCGTAAACTGAATAATCATCAATTTAAAGTATTTCAGTTCATGAAGTAGAACGACACTTTTCTTGTCAAATTTTTTTTTATGCAAAAACGCATTAGTTCAGTGTACTTTTATCAAAATTTGAAGTGAGTGGGCTCTTCTTAACATTTACTGTTAATTGTATTGTTAATGGTGTTACAATGTATCCTGGCGATGCGGTACTTTTAAGCCCAAATCGATTGTCAAAATTTATATAAATATATTTGAAACAATTTAAAAATATCAAAAAAAGATGTTTGAGAAAACCTAATTTAGAATTAATAAAATGAAAACATTATAAAAAAGCATTTTATTTGAAAGTTTAAGCGAAAAGGTATAACATCGTTACATGGCTTATCTGAGCACTCTACATGTAACTTGTTTTATATGTGGCGCATGTGCGATTGATGTCATGAGGTAAACATAGGCCTCGATATCGACTATTTTTGTTTTTTATATAATTTTCTCTCTTATTATTATATTTAAAAGATACGCATTACAACTAATCTCCATACAACTGTCCCCAGTCTCCTCTACATCAGAACATGATCTTTCAAGTTTCATTATGGGAGCCCCCTTTTATCTTCAAAAAATTATTTCATCAGAATATAAGTGAAAAATATCATAATGCTTCACATACACTTCTCATTCTATTATATCCTATATAGGTTTATGAGAAATTGAACATTGCTGTCTGCAGCTATCGACAGTGTTACATTCCAATCAGAAATGATAATGGAATCGTCATCGAATCGACAACAGTGTTATTCCGGACAAATGAGTAGGCAATTTTACCTCGTTTGACGATTTTGCGACAAATAGGTTTTGAAGAGCCATAAGGACCTGGATCACAAGTTTTTATATGAAATGCAGCTTGATGATCTGTAGTATTCATCGGGTCGTTACACATGACATTTACATTGGATGAACACACCCAACATCGTAAAGCGGAACCTGTTAAGCACATAATGAAAAATTTATAAAACATGATTTTATGATTTAAGTATCGAAACAATATAAATACATTTAAACATAAAAAGTAATAGATTACGTATTCTCTTCACCACATTTTCACATAGAGTTATTCATATACAACTATAAAAAAAATATATTCAAAATGTAAATATTTTTATTTTATAATATTGTAATAACAATATGTATTCTTTTTAACAAATGCGAAGAAATGAGCTCTTAAATGTAATTATATTTTTTTTAATGTTATTGATCAATAAACATGGCAGTGTCTCGCGTGGAGTGCGAGACTGCATCGTGTCTTCATTTACTCGAGATAGCGAGTTGCGAACGAGTCGATTCGAAATTATCAGTTTTTTAATAAAGGTTGGACCGATCGACTTCTGAGTGTAACAATTTACAAGTAATAGACTTTTAAGAATAAGTAAATATACTTTAAGAATAAATAATATAGGAAGGACAGGCCAATGAGAATGCAAATGCAGGTCATGACGCCCAATAAAAAATACTTTTAAAACAATTATAATTATAAGAGTCCGACCGAAACTTTTGCTGAAACTAAATCAAAACACCTGGCTACATGTCAATTTCAACCGAAACCGTAATTAAAAAATAGGAATCCTATAAAGATCATATATATAAACATACCCATATCTTTTCTTCATAAATTACTGAAACAATAAAAATTTAATTAAATTTCAATCGAAATCAAAAATCGAAATTTCGATTGTGTGTAATTTTGGCCAAAGAATGTAAGTACTTCTTCATAAATATCTTAATTTAATTATTGAAACAATAATTACACATATTAAAATTAATATTTATGAAGAAGAGCTAAGGTAACTCCGACAAATACGCCGCGCTGGGATTTACGCTGCAGAAATCAGAAAAATAGGAATAGGATTCATTTTCCCGCAATTACTTTTTTACATGCCTTTATGCTATATTAGTATTGTACTATAATTTCAGTTTTTTAAATGTTAATATTAATTAAATTATTGCGAGTTGATTTGTCACTATATTGTACTAATAAGTAGCGTCATAAGTAGCGTATAAATTACATTATAATTTACATTAAATTAAAATGATTACTATTGAGCGCGTAAAAGACTTAGTGGTTATTTCGTGATACATGTAGAGGAATAGTAAAGTATATGTTGTATAGCAAAATATAAGTACTTTGCTCTTGTATTCTTTGTTTAGTTTGTTGTCTTATATCCCAATCATTTAGGATATACGGCATTTTTTGTGGGCAGAATTTATGCCCAAAGTATACAAAGTGCATAGATTAGATTCAATGCACTAAATGCAATAAACACGTTATGAAATATGTACTTCATTTAATAAAACACTTATATGCAAGGAGAGA